AGTTACATGTTCACTTATATCTCTTTTTATCCCTAGCTACCACCAACCACATCTTAAGTCATGGTACATCTTAGTTGCTCTTGGTGGAAGAGTGTATCTACTTTGATAAGCCTCCTCAAGTAGGATATTTTTCAATCAAGCATCATTAGGCATACACACTCTGCCCTTATATCTCACAACATCTGAACCAAGCGATCGCACACTTACAAATTTAGACTAGATTAACCAACTTTATAGTATAATGGCAAACCTAGGTCATCTCTTAAAGATGTGCTTAAAGATTAAATCTAAAGCTTCTTAATGCAATTAAATTAAAATAAAAATCCCAAGAGTTGTTTGATTTTAATTGATTTAAACTAAATACTAATTAACCTCTTAAAACTTAAAAGCTTAAGCTAAGAAGTTTGCAAAAATAGGATGGAATAGGGTATTTGAAGTTAGATTAATGCTTAAATCCTAACAACTTATGAAATATAAATTACCACCCTTAATTCTCTCTCTCTAACCAAATTATAAAGCTACTAGGATAATTCTCTCTAACAATTTCACTAGGGACCCTAATTAAGCTTAAGATTTTAGTGTCCAATTCAACTCCCTAATTAGTTTTAGGCCCAAGTTAGGTGATTAATGGCAAATTCTAGCAAGTATGTTTAGCCCCTTACAATCTAAATGACCTCTAAAATTATGGTAGATCACAAGCAAGCCCCAATAAACACTTCTCAAGATTATGATGAAGCATAAGCTAGATCAAAATACTCAAGAATATTCAAATTATGACACATTCAAGGCTGAATGATAGAGCTCAACATACCAAATGAAATTTAACAATAATCAAATCAATCTCCATACAAAAATATCAATCAAGATTATGATTGTAAAGCAAAGACATAGCAATCCAATATTATGGTCTTACAAGTTTACTGATGGAGAAAAATTAAGAGAAAAATAAAATGATTAGAAAATTGAAGACGCAAGTGTTCATTGAGCTTCCATCCTCCTCTAAGCACCCAAAATTACTTAGCCTTCAAAGTTCTTCAAGTCCTCTATGAAAAACTCAGTTGGCAAACCCCTCCATGGAATCGAGTAGAGAATGAAGCATGAAATGGATAATCAAGTGGTAGGGATGTGTAGATGGGAACTAACAGGAGAAGAATGTGAGTGATTAGTAATGATCCAATGGTTAGATGAAGAGAAATGGAGGCGAGAAGGGGGCTATCATGCCTGAAAAATGAGAGAAAATGAAGAACAATGAAGAACAAGAGAGAGGATGTAAAATAAAATGAAGAAGGTGGTGAGAGATTAGTATGTGGTAGCTAGGCTTTATGTTTTAGGTGAAAAATAGCTGGGAGGGGCATGGATGTCCAGCTGCAAATGAGGCAAAAAAAATAAAAACAAAAGGAAAAAAAAAAAAAAGGCTAGAGTGAGGTACACACTTCCCACATACATAAATAGATGGCTTTCTCTTATTGACTTAAAGGGAATATCCTAAGTAAAAGTATTCTCATTTATTTCATCAGAGGATCTGATTATTCTCTCCTTTTTCACCTAAAATGATGCCACATTTTTCCTTTTTAGTCCCCTTTTATGATCCTTGACCAATTGCAAAAATTTTCAAGTTAACATGTGCTACCTAAGTCATAAAATGTATACAAAATCAAAATTAAATATTCATGTGACCTAATAAATAAATTCTTGCACATGGAGTTAATTAATTAGCATAGAAGAATATTAATGAAGTAAAATCGAATTATGGATGCACATAAAATCATAATTCGGTCAAGTCAACAATTATGAAATGTGATTTTTTATTTTATAACGCTCAAACCAAATTGAATTTTAAAAAACTAATTTCATATTCATTCTTCTAGGCATAAAACATATGGAGTACAACATTAATTCAATTTTCATAAAAAGTGTAATTTTGGATCAAAATACTCCTAATGCACAATTTTTGCCTCTTAAGCAATTTTCTTACTTTTGACACCATGATACACTAAAATGAGGGATAAAACATGTAAAATGAACTCTAAATGAATGGATAAAGTTGTGTGCAATATGAGTTTTTATCAACATCGTCATCATTACATCAAAATCTATGGCTCTTCCAAACCCTAATTTCCACCTTAATCTTATTCAAATGATCATCCTTTTGTTGTGCAACTCTGATTTCATCCAAAAATTGTTCTCAAACTTAGTAATTTTAGAGAGCAACTAATCGATTCTCAACTACTTCTACATTTACTGTATGAAAGCTACTCCATAATTCATGTTCCTTGACCATCATTGAGCAGCATGCACAAGTTTCCTGCTCAAGCATCGGCAACCATGTTAGCTTTTTTTGGATGATACTTCAACTCAAAGTCATAATCCTTTAAGAACTCAATCTATTTGCATTGTCTCATATTGAGTTCCTTCTAATCAAACAAATATTTTAAAACTTTTGTGATCACTAAAGATTTTAAAGGAAGACAACATAAAGATAGTGCCTCCATATCTAAAGCAAATACCACAGCAGCAAGCTCTAAGTCATGAGTTAGGTAGTTTTCCTCATGAGGCCTTAATTGTTAGGAGGCATAGGCCACTACTTGATCCTCTTGCATCAATACACAACCTAAGCCCTTCTTAGAAGCATCGATATACAAGGTATAAGGAGCAATTTAGACAGGTAAAATGAGATCGATGTGGTAGTTAACCTCTTTTTTAGCTCTTGAAAGCAACTTCGCATTCGTTCGTCCAAATAAATGGGGCATCCTTTACAGTTAACTTAGTTAGGGGAATTGTAATTTTAAAAAACCCTTCATAAATCAACAATAGTAGCTCACAAAACCCAAGAAACTCTTAATTTCTATCACATTTTTAGCTTAAAGAATTTGATTTCTTTAAGCTAAAAATCATATTTGCTCAGCTAGGCATATAGCTTATGCTCTCCCAATACCTCCACAACAATTATGAGGTGTTTAGCATGGTCTACCTCATATAAGTATGTCAACAATTAAAGACTACAATCAATTTATCAAGATAGGGCCCAAAAATTCAATTCATATAATCTAGAAAATGGCTGGGGCATTTGTTAACTCAAATGACATCACAAGGAAACTCATAATGTTCATATCTAGTCCTAAAAAGCTGTTTTATGGACATCCTTACTTTGACCCTTAGTTGATGATACTTGATTTCCATCTTAGAGAACACCGCTAAATTGACTATTGATCAACAAATCATCATTTCGAGGCAAGGTTACTTGTTCTTGATGGTTACCTTATTTAATTGTCTGTAATCAATACACAATCTGAAGCTCCAATTTTTCTTTTTCACAAACAATACCAGTGGCCTTATGGCAATACAATTAGTCTAATAAACCCTTTCTCTAATAACTCTTTAATCTATTTCTTCAACTCAGCCAACTTTGATAGGGACGTCCTATATAATGCCTTGGAAATAAGCCTCGTATCGGGCATGAGCTTAATCGAGAACTTAAACTCTTGTTCTGGAGGCAAACCAATCACCTTAATAGGAAAGACGTTAGAGAATTGTCTCACTACTGAAATCTAATCCATACCTTCTTCAATCTCTGCCTTACTGATAAGAAAACTAAAAAACTTGACAACCCTTTTTATACATTTTTACTTGAGCTGCAGATAATAACAAAGGATCCTAGGACTCTATAGGGGTTATAGTAAGAGCTAAGGGTGACATACTCTTTTTCTTACAATCAAGTATAGCTAGTAGACAATCAATCTATCCCCATAATAACCTGAATCCTAGATAAAGACAAAACAAATAAGGTCTATGGTGGTATTTCGATCCTCATACTCAATCTCTACATTTAGACATGCCTTGGTAATTTTTATAATCAAACCAGCAGGAGTAAAAATTTTCACATCAAAAGTAAAGTAGACACAAGTAATTTGCATCTTTTTATACATTCATCAGTTACAAAGAAGTGCATAGCACCCGAATCAAATAAAGCATGAATATCATTGTCAAGGATCAATTATATCTTGAATAGCATTAGGGTTGTTAGTAGCCTCTAGCCTAGAGAGGGCATACACTAGTGCTAGCACTGTAGGTCTTTGATCAATACCCTTGTTCTTGTTCTAATTGTAGAATTAGGAGATGTGACCAAGCTTCTGGTAGATGTAACAAACCCAATAATTACCAGAATAGAACCTCCCACACTTACTGCACACTTGATTACTAGTAGCACCAAAGTAGAAGTAGAGGTAGCTAGGCTCTTATAGGACCCCTGACTCTCACTTTGATTCCCTCTATAGTTTTAGCCCTTCTAGTAATGGCCCTTCTTCTTCTAATTTCTAAAACCTCCAAGACCTTAGTTGCTCCTTTCCTTACTCAACCAATAGGTTTAGGGTGAATAGGGGGCTTCCCACTGGGTTCCTTCCTTCTCTCTCTATCAGCTTCTAATCTAGCCTCTCTCTTCCTTCAAGAAACAATCCCGAACTTATTACACATCTCACCAAATATCTTGATCTAAAAAGGGGCTAACTGTTCTTTCAGATCAGGCCTTGCCTTCTCCAAGAATCATTTAGCCATCCACTCCGTGTCCTCATGTTTCTGGAGGTAGGTGGAGTATTTAGTTAATTGTGAGAATTGCTTAATAAATTCATCTTCATCCAGGTTACCCTAGCGAAAAGCATGAAATTTCACCTCCTTTTTCACTCTTAGTGTAGTAGGAAAATAATGCTCAAATAATATGGTCTTAAATTCTTCTCAAGTGAGAGAGGACTCATCCTTCGATTTTGATGTTTCCCACCACTTCTTAGCAGCATTCTTCAACAGGATTATCGCCAGCTACACCTTCTGATTAGAAGTGCACACGACCATATGAAAAATAGTCTCCAACTAATCTATCCATTCTTCAACCATTGATGGCTTGAGATTTCCATCAAAGGTAGGAGGGTTAAACTTACGAAAAATATCCCAATCTTCATGATAGAGGATGTCTTCTGATCAAGTAGGACTCTCATTCTTTGAACCGGTCTCATGGTAAGAATGGGAAGGTGAGTCCTCATTAGCGGATTAAACTCACAGTATATACCTTGGTATGCTTTCCTTATTGTTGGTCATTTCCCTCTCAGTTGGCATTCTCTTTCTATTGCCTCAAAGTGGCCAACTCTTCTTCTTGCTTCTTCATATGGTTACTAAAATCCTATAATAGATCCATCATTTGCCTCATAGTTGGCTCACCCTGCCCTAGTTAAAGCTATATGGGTTGGCCTTGCCTATTTGTTGCTGTGTGGGTTCCAATTGTGGCAGCGAGGGTATGTCATTTCCTACTGGCTTAATAGGATTAACAGTATTCTTGTCATTTCTTCTAGTCGTAGACACCACCTCTCCCTCCTAAAGGATGGAAGTCACAAAAATAAGTCAATACTAATCTTCAAAACAAAAAGAATAAAGGCGAAGCATTATAATTTAATAATGTATATTGTCAATAAGCTAAGTTAATGCATAACAACTTCACAATTTATAAGAACCTTGAAACATGAGGCTCTGATGCCAAGATTTAACACCCTAAAAATTTTTTCAAAATAATTAACTCAATTATGGTAGAAAAATGTCTACCATGGTAAACAGAAGTTAACTAATCCTATATTTTTTTTTAAATAATTCTGTAATTTAAAACACTACATGGTAGAAAATGATAAAATATAACCTTATAAAATATTCTATCTTTTAAAATAACTATCATAATAGAAAAGATTGAGCTAGATAAATAAATACTATTATGATAAGTATAATTTAAACTCCTTAAATTGTGATTTTTAAGATTTGAGATCCCAAACAACTAAAACCAATATAAGTGTAAAAGGTCTAAAAGATCCCTTTAAAATTAAAAATATAATAAACCCAAAAGAATAGAAAAAATAAAAATAGTTATATATTTTAAGATCTTACAACCAACTATCAACTTTGCCTAACGACACAACATAATTTTCAATACTGATAATACATATCTACTATTATAGTTGGATTATAACCACTCAACACAACTTATGTCAATAATCAAATATAAAAATAAGTAACAATTGACTTAGGTTTGCTTTTACAAAATCAACTACTTCTTTAAATTTGCTTGATGAACATCTCGTGTTGAACAATAAAATATATTTTTGACATTTTCCTTCAACTATTGCCTGTTGTTTGTAGTGCTCCTTCTCCCTAGTATTAACTTTTTTTCCATGCTTCTCTAACACCTTTGACAACATCTTGAAAGGTGTGGAACTTTTCCTTATTTTTCTCATGAAATTATTTTCTAAATATTCTATGTTTTGTATATTCTTGTTTGTTGCCCACCATCTTTTTATATCCCTACAAAGATTTACGTTTAAATTAGTTATTCAATATTACTTGTTAATTTTTTATATTAGACGTGTTAATTTTTTAGATTTACTTGTTATTAAACTCCATACAATTTAGAAACCAAATCCACATTTTATTCAATGTCATAGTATAAATAGCTCAAGTTATCTAATTAATAAGTAATGTTAAAGAATTAACAAACAAAGTTATGTGATTAATAAATAATGTGGTTTAACAAAAGAGTCACAAATAAACATGTGATGCTAAGTAATTAACAAATTATGTTGGGAAATCAACAAGTAAAGTTATGCATTAATAAGTAATATAAACCAACAACTCCACATACATGTTGCTAAATCACCATCAATAGCTTGTAAATTTTATAACACCACTTGTCATTCACCATTCTTAATTTTCTCTTTCTTCGAAAATAAAAAATGAAAGGACTCAACAAAGAGGGAAAATTCAAAACTGTTTGATGATTTTTTTTTTTCTTTTAACAGAGACTATTTCAATATTTTCATCATTGAAATTAATTTTATTTCAATCTTTTTAAACTAAATTAAAATTTTAGATTTTAATGTACTTCATTATGTCATATACCTCATCCTCTGTTGAAATTATCCAATGAAAGTATATATATAACGACTTAAGGAAAAAAAAAAAAACTCTGTAGTCTAACTAATAAATCAGAAGCATAAATTTTCATCAACAAATTAAAAGATAAAAAATAGAAAAGATAAAAATAATATTACCTAATTAGTTTAATCAAAGAAATCACAGCCGCAGAAACAGTCGAAGAAGCAGCAAATCGAAGCATCATCATATTCACTGCGATAATGACTTTACATCGTTTCATAATGCTTTGAGGAAGATACCCAGAAATTTCAAAAAAATGTCATATTGCAAGATAAATTAATGGAGATTGTAGGACCAAAATATTTTGCTGCTTACAGAGTGGTGTCATCGTTCCAGTGCAAAATATAACGACAAGAAAATAAGCAATGAGCAAGAGCAAGTGCGGTGGCCGCCGGAGGTTCACTCGACCGCAACGGCAGTGACTGAACAGAGAGGCAATGAAGAAGCAAAGAGGCGACGGCGAAGAGAGGATGAAAGTGATGTAGGAGCAGCAGCTAAGTAGGGTTTATTTAGTGAAGGGCAGTTATGGAATATTGGAAATAAGGTGTGGCTATTTGAGTCACCCAACAAAACATTCGGTTTTGAAACGATTATGAAAAGGAAAGTAAAATGGAATATGATCAAATATGCCTCTCCAAATTAAAATTTGCAAAACTAAAATTTTTATAAATTGAAATAAGTAAAAGAGTAAATTGATATCTAAATTATAGATTTAAAAGCAAATTTTAAACTTATTTATTCTGTAATATTTTTTTTAATTTTTGAAAATAATGTTAAATATAATTCCTATCATTAACAAAAATTAATTTTAAACATGAGTTAACCACAAAATGTTATAAAAGGATCTAAAAATTTTAAAAAAAGATCAATAAAATTCTCTTAATCCTTTTCATTAATTTTTTTTAAATCCCTATCTGTAGTTTTTTTTGATATTTTTTGTAATTTTTAAAATTATTTTTATCATTTTTAGTTAACAAACAATTAAAGTTATTTTTTATTAATAATAGAGGTCAGATTTTGTTTTTAAAAGTTAAAGGGAAACTTTACACAAAAATTGAATACAAGGACCTAAATATTTTTGGACCTATAATCTAAGGGTGAATTTACTCTTTTATCCTATTGAAATTTGTAAATAACAACTGAAATGAAAGCAATAAAAAGTTGTTTCCACACTCACTTTTATGTTGAACTTAAAAGCCATTTCACTTCAACTTTTTTATCTAAATATAAAATTTATTTCAAACTCTATTTTTAAATAGCGAAACCTAAGTTTAGTAGTTAACCAAATATAATTGAAGTAATTAAATATTATTTTGAAATTTTAATCTTTTTTATAATTTGTAAAAAATAGTCTTTATTTAGAGAAATAAATATGTTTAAAGAGTAAAATAATAAAAATAATTTTGTAATAAATTTTATTAATAAATTATTATTCTTTTTTACCACGAATAACATCATTATATATATATATATATATATTGTTAGCTTTGATGTCCAATCTACAATTCTATGCTTCAAAATGTCTTTCTTGTACTTTAGATTTTAATTCAAATTTAAGTTTAGAGATAGGTTTATAGTGATCTATTTTACACACACACATAATAAAAGATGGGTTAATATACAATTTGGACCCTAAGCAATAAGTCTAAGGGCTATTTGAACCCTAAACTTTAAAAAGATACATTTTGAACTCTAAACAATTAAAGTTGGAACAATTTTACCCTTATCATTAACTTTTAATAAAACATCCGTCAAATTCATTTGAGAAAAGACGTTTGCTGAAAGTTAACAATAAGAGGCAAAATTGCCTCAGCTTTAATTGTTTAAATTCAGAATGTACTTTTTTAAAAGTTTAAGGTTCAAGTCACCCTAGACTTATAGTTTTAGAGTTCAAATTGTATATTAACACGTGGTAATATTACAAATTTTCCCAGGATATAAGAAGAATGAATAAAAAAAGGTAAATAATAATGATGACGATAATGAAACTATATAAAGCAAGGCTGCAAATTGTAATAATGAGTAAATCAGTTTTTAGTAGATATTATGGAGGTATGAATGAGATGGTGTTGAGTTGATTATTTTTTATTCTTGTTGGGTAGGGTTTTGATAGGTTATCAGTGACAGCAAAAAAACATAACATAATCTTTCGTTATAAGTGCATTTTCATATCTTTTCTTGTTTGCCTTTTGGTGTAATGGAATCTCATAATAATATTGTTGAAAAAAATATTATCATTCTTTATTAGGAAAAAATTTAGAATAGATTCCTCTTCATAGATTTTTTTTGCTCTATCTCTTTACTTATAAAAAAAGTATTTGATTCTATTTTATAGATTTTTACCTTCATCGATCAATTCAAACCAAGAGACTCACATACTCCTTTAATTTTTTTTTTAAAAAAATTGATATAATATGCAACATACATTTTTTTTTCATTACTGTAGAATTATTATTGATTAGAGTACATCTATATATATATATATATATATATAAAATCAAGAACCCCAAGCACAAGTGTCAATATATTATGAAGCCATATCAGTTCCATGTTTTTCTCCCTTGATGACAAGTGGACGCAGGTTAAATAATTTCTCAATGGTAAATTATTATTTATTGTTTGAAAATATAATGCATGCATTTAATATGTGTTGATGCAATGAATTAATTTCGTGATTTGATTCTTTAATTTATGAAAAGTATAATCATGGGATAAATTTGTGAGGAAATTTAATTCTTGAATCCATTTTATTTTGATCAATAATATATATATATATATATAATTAGGACTCATAAGCACACATGTTAGAACATTAGCAAGCCACATCAACTCCACCTTTCTCTCCGGTAGTAATACATAGATATCCAGGCTGAATAATTCCTCAATAAAATAAAATATTTGTATATGCAATCAATTAATTTAATGATTTGATTATTTAATTTATGTAAATAATGGTCATGGCATTTATGAAAATTGAGATCGTACAATGAATTCATTTATAAAAATAATTATATATTGTTGACATTTTGAAAGAAATAAGTTGATAGCATACATAATTTTTTTAAGAAAATTGAAATTGTGCAATGAATTCATTTATTGAAATCGTGCAATTAATCCTTTGAATTTTTCTTTTTTTACCAAACTAATCCATTGAATTTCATTTATGCATAAAATTTAAAAATTAAAATAAAATTATGTTGTAGTACACAAAATTACATTATAAAGAAATTAACAAAAGCATATAAAAAAATTAATTGCTTGTGTTATAAAAAACACAAAATTAGCAATTAAATTAGATGGAAATGAATTCAAAAAATAAAAAACACAAAAAGATTGCGATATCCAAATCAATTATTATTAAATTAGAGAGTCAATATTATTATACCAATATCAACTATATTTTAAATGTGGATGTTTATTTTTAAAAACCACCAAATCAATCAGAATAATTTCTAAATTAATGTATCTTAAAAGCAGCATGGAAAGATGCATTATTGCAAATTTTTCATTAACTCATAAATTGATTTGACATTTTTAAAAATAAGTGTACGTATTCAAAACACAAAATCACACTATACCAAAACCATGCAAAAAAAAAAAAGCATATAAAAACAAATTAACTACTCATATTATAAAAAAAACACAAAATCAACAATTAAATTTGATGAAAATGAATTCAAAGAATAAAAAAAAATACAAAAAGATATTGCACAACCTAAATAAATTTGGCATTAAATTAGATAATCAATATTATTGCAATGATGTTAGCTATATTTTGAATATGAATATTTATTCTTAAAAAAACTACCAAATCAATCATCGAAATTTCTAAATTAATGTATCTTAAGTAATAAATAGCATGCAAAGATGAACTATTGCAAATTTCATATTACCTCAAAAATAATTTGATTGATTTGATAACTTTTTAAGAATAAATATCTATATTCAAAACATAGTTGACCTTGGTGTAATAATGTTGATTCTCTAATTTAATTGCTTAAATATTGAACAACATATTTTTGAATTTTTTTTTACTTCTTTGAATTCATTTCCATATTAATTAGTTCTTACCCACATTAACCTCTATCTAAATTGATTACCCACTATCCCAATCGTGCCAGTCAAGACTTAAATCAGTTGTGGTCTAATTTGACTAGTTCATGTGTATTCATTTCTTGCAACTTCTTTTTTTATTTCTATTTCTCTATTCATATTTTAATTTAATTCATTATTTATGGAGAATTGACCATGATACATGCTGCAAGTTATGGCTCCATGATTTGATATTGTCCACACTATCAACTCACTTTGAAACTATTAGAAAATTAGAATTTGAGCATGTAAACAATGATGGGTTACAAGGTGGATTCAAGAGATAAATCAAAACCATCATCTTTTTATTTGATCTTTATCATCTTCAACTTCTAGAAAGGTATCCAGGTTTTAGTTGTCTCTTACTATTATCATGTTGCATTTTTTTTATATATGTAAACAAGATTGGAGGATTAGAATTTAGGTGGTTTCCATGTTGACGACGATGGGTTACAAGGTGGATTTGATATAGATAATCCAAATAATCATCTTCTTCTTCAATTTCTATTTTTCTATCTTCTGAAAAGGTATACAAATGAGTTGTTTCTTACTATTATCATGATGCATCTTGTTTCATGTCTTGTAACTCCAGTTACATATTTTAGTTCATTTCAATGAATTGTTAAACTCACTATTGCTAAGCAATAGTTCTCCTAGCCTTAACTTTTGTGGCTCTTTACGTTTGAATAATAGTTAATTGGTTAGACGTGATGGATATAATAAATATGATTGTTTAGTGAGGTTCTTTTTCTAAATTGGTGTTGTACACCACTTTGAGATGTATTTTTATGAACATTGTATTTTGCCTGGACATTTTTTTAAATTTAATAAAAATAATAATAAATAACTAAAAAATATAAAAATACAAAAATAAAATTTAATCTTTTTTAGGATTATATTTTCAAAAAATAATTAATAGGGTTTGATTTTGTTTTAACCTAGATAATCTTTTATTAGTTAGGATCTTATTTCTTTTAGTCCATTCAAACTAACCAAAAAAATATAAAAATACAAAATAAAATTTAATCCTTTTCTAGGATTATATTTTCAAAAAAATAATAATTTAACAAAAAAAAGAGGTTAAATCTTAAAAAAATATTGAAAATTAACTTTTGAGGATTAAATGTTTTTAAATTTCTCTCCTCAAAGCTAATGATTTTTATTTAAATTATGTACATTAAAATTAGATTTTTTCCTCTCCCTTAATTTATTGACAAAAAAAAGGCGCATTAAAATCAAAAAGATAAAAATGGGGCACTCAGCCCAAGATTGCTTTCGGCTAGCAGAGAAAACGCATGCACCCCATTCTTTTCTCCTCCCCCTTTTGAAATTCAAATGTTCAAAGAGTCAAGGAG